AAAGCAGTTGAAGTTTGGCTTTAAATCCAACCGTTCTGCCTCCAGCTGCTGATATTTTCCCTCTCACTAACCACTCTGTCTTGCCTTTTGTTCACAGATATTCAGAAGAGCCGACAAAGATGGTGAGTGAAGTAATTTATTTTCTTGGTATGTTGCCATGTCAAAGTTTCAAGCAACGTGTAAAAGACCTTAGAATGTTTTTCAGACAGTATTGGTCACATTTTGGCATGAGCGCATACAGTGTGCTGCATTCAAGAACATAGATCATTGTCTGTTCAGGAGTCAGGATCATTTGCATTAAGTTCAATTAGAGATTTCATGTAAATTTGGTATTTTTAACTACATACCTTGCAGACTTCATGCAAACCAAATGTAAATTAACCTGAAAAATTTGATGAAATGATAAATTAAATGTACCACCCAATGAAAATACCTCATACCGCTACTAATTATTCCTCTTCATACATATTTTAATTACATTTGAACTATCTAAACATTTTAAACATTTCATTGTATTCTTTTAGTTTAGATAATTTATAAATCAGTTGATATTGTGAACAAATATGGGCAATCAATTTGACTGAATATAGAATAAAAGCAAAAGCTAGCTCAGTTGTTGCTCTGCAGAATTCAGGTAATCTCAAAGGTCAAAGGTCAAGATGACACAACTCGGAACAGACTGAAAAGATTGTCAGTTTGTGTGGGCTGCAGAAGAAAGCCTCTTTTCTGCTTTTTTGTGTCCTGTAGAATCTGTGTATTTCCTTACTCACCCGTAAAGTCCGCTGATTTGTCTCTGAGGGTTTTTTTTTCCAGTTTATAGCAAACAAGAGCATGGCTTAATAGGGTTGTAGAGTTTTTGATCTGCAAATCACGAGGTGATTTTGTCAGCATCAACCTGCTTCTGAGTGGTTTGAGCCTCATTAATTCCAGCTTAGTTGAGCGATCCTCTCTGAAGCCTGTTGTCCTGCGCGCTGAGCTCCGGCTGAACGCGGCTGCTGGGACGCTGAAGCCTTTTCAGTGGGAAAAGCTTCCATTTCTGTGCAGGTTTGCCAGTGAGCACTTGGTTTCTATCCACCTGGCATCTGCTGCTCTTACCTTCCTCTTTAGTACCGTCTCTGCTCTTCCTCTTCTGGCCATCTTTGCTCATCCTCTTCCTCTTTTTTCTCTCTACTTTCACTGTGACAGAAGAATTTCACTAATGAGGAAACAGCATTAAAAGCTCTGCTTTCATTACAGCCAGATGGTCATTTCGCTCCTCCAGTGTGTGTTTGCGTGTGCGATTGAAGGGATTTCTCCTCCATCCAAAGCAATTTCTCCTTTGCTTTCCCTCCAGCACAGCTAGAGCCCCCACTATTATCTCTGTACATAAGATATCTGCGCACTACCGTGAGGCTTTCATCAGTCGTCTCTTCACAAGCCGGAGCAGAAAGAGCAGAAACAGTTTCCACCAAAGATTTAAGGCGCCACCAGGCCTGTTTTGCATGAGGTTCGAAGTGATTGTGACTCCCTGCGGCTCCAGCTGACATTTTAAATGCCTCCACCACCTAATTACCAACTGTTCTGATGCAAAACGCCACTTTAGTCAGATTTGCATCCTTTGCCGATCATTTCCTGAGCGCAGACCTCTCGCATAAGCAGCGCCTTCACAAACAGCCTGTCAGTTCACATGAAGTTTTTTGATAACAGTCTCGTGGGGCGTTTCAACAGCTCCATTCCAGCTGCAAACCGTCTCTAAAGAGGGCGACAGCAGCGAGCACTCGGATGAGATGCTGCAGCGCCGGAGGAAAGAAGGCGACTGAGTGGGGAACAAGGATGGTTATTATGGAGAAACGTTGCTATTTGATGTATAGAAAGCAGGCTGGAGGAAGAAGCAGCGAGCACGAGCAGAGGAAGAGCTATTTTTACCCTCCTCCTCTTCTCTCCTGGGAGAGGACTGGGGAACTGTTTTAATGAGGCAGAGCAGTAGAAGGGAGATGCTAGCGGCGAGAGGAGAGGATGGTAAAAGACGAGGGTGGCGAGTGGGGTGGCAGCCTCATATTGCTGAGGGTGGGGGGGGGGGGGGGGGGGGGAGTTTCTGAGAAGCTGTGGAGTAACAGAGCATCATATCTGACATCCCGGCTGTAATTGAGGTTTACTCGGCCGGATTCTGTCCTTACATTCATGGTGTGGATTTAAGTAGTGCTACATGCTAATAGAGGCCCCATAAATCTGCGGGCTGTCACCGGTTTGGCGTGCGTGTGATGTCACACACGCCGCTGTGCAGCCTGCCCGTCTGGTGGGTCGGCTGACAGCACTCGGCGGGGCGGCTGTTTGCACCTGTTTGCCCCGCCGGGCTGCTCGACTCTGAGGGTTTCTAATCAGAAACTTGTCAGCATTTTAATTCCGCTTTCCAAAATGTAGCCATCCGCTAATGGAGCTGATTAAAGCTCGTCGTCGGAGAGCAGCCGGTTACCTGCGTCAAAAGAAGCAAACAAAACAGCCATGAAATGATTTCACTCGCCTGTTCAATTATTTATTTGACTTATCTATTTCAGTTACACGTCGAACGATGACAGAGTTTCTTTTTTCTTTTACTTAATTTCTTTGAAGCTTTAATATCACATTTTAACCCTTCATGCCGCAGCAAACAGCCGGCGTCGATTTATTTCTTGCTGTCTATGGAAGTATTTATCATTTTTCCATTGTGGGTTTAGACTTCGTGATTAATTTTGAGGAGCACAAACACTCAATCTCAAAGCACCCAGTGAAGAGTCCTGAGCGTTTGACCTTTGCTGACGGATCGCTCAAAGCTGGCAGATGATGCTTGGCTCCAGTCGAACGGTGGCTGGAGCTTGAAAACAACATATTAAATCACTAAAAAGTCATAGTTCCTGCATTAATGAACTAATGAAGAATCATCCTTCACAATTATCATCGCACAGCCAGACGTAGAGGTCAGGTGACTGTGAGCTGTGCTTTAACAGAGAATTGAATCAGGGGACGTATTCATTACTCGATAATAAATCCTCCCAAGCTTTGACAAATTCCTGAATTTCAAAGGTTTTCTCAAGCATAATCACATATGAGTGTGATTAGATGCAGTCTGTGCTATAGAACCTGAATAATTGAACTAACCGTTTGCATAGATTTATTTAAATTTAATTTAAATTTGTTTGATTTTGATTTTTAACTTTACTGTTTTAATTATTTTCCCATGTTTCCCATGTTAGCTGGAAGAAATGTGAAGGTCAATTAAATTATTAAATGTGATAAAGTAAAAAAAATCAGATATTTAATTCTATTTGGATTCAAAGTATTATTTCTGCTTTTGTTTCAGTTTCAGTTCTCCAACTCGGTTTATAACCAGTGCTTTTCATTAATGTTACACTAACTTTGCAAAAAATACGAAAAAAACGGGTATCTTTCATTTTAATTAATTTGCTTGAAATTTCCAAGATCCTTCAGATCAAATCGCATGTTTAGGTCGACAAAAATGTGACAGTTAGTGGACAAAAGAGACCCAAATGAGGACCAGCAGGCTGTGGGCAGATGGAAACTCAACTGGTGATTTATTAGAAAACCGAAACCAGAAAACTCAGCAGAGCTGGAAAACCATCAACTAAACCGGGGAACCAAAGCTGAACTCAACAGCAGACCAGATGGCAAAAAACAGGCTCACTGAGAGTCGGCCACAAAAAACGACCTTCATAAGGGGAAAGTTTGGAAGCAGTGCAATCGTGGATGTATGCAGAAGCAACGCAAGATTAAGATGAACCAGGAGCAGAAAAAAGGCTAAATGCTGCTATACCCACAGGCTCATGCAGCTGGTCTTAGTCCAGACTGGTGAGGAAGCTGGAAGTCAAACTATCAACCTTTGGTAGATTTATTAGACAAGTTGGCATCCCTCAGGACAAGAAACCATGTGAAAAGACAAAGACAAACAGAGTAAATCCTCATTTAAACCAGCCACTCAAGAATGCAAATGAGAGAACAAACTAAACAAATCCAAAGTCTCAAAATCCACAAACCCAACTCAGACTTATTGGGTCGGGTTTAGCATGTGTAAACATCCGAGTCTGCCTTCAGAAACCTTGATAAGCTCCAGAGAAAAACTGGCTTGGATATAGGCGTGTGCACGTGATCTGAAAGAGATGAAAAAGCAGCTTTCCCCGTTCATGTAAACACAGTTTCTGGCTGCGGGGCAGGGAGCGGCTGCCTCTCAGAGAATCTACACCTCAAAGCATCCAAACACAAAAAAAAAACAGAAGCACTGCAAAGCTGAGAAACTATCTGCTCAACCCGGCTGCTTTTTTCCCCACCTGTCAAAGTGCCTCCATCTTGTTTTTGACTAAAGGGAAACAGTCTCCATCGAGCCGGAGCAGCTGAACCACAGCTCCCTCCGAGTAAACCAGAGTAAACCAGTCAGTCATTAAGGACAAACCCACAAACATATCTGAGTGCTGGATAACGGGGACTTTAGTGCTTTGTTATCCTGAGTCCAGGACAAGAGCATCTTAGCTTCATGTGAAAAAAGAGGAATAGAAGAATAAAGGAACAGACTTTCCATCCTGGACTCTCAGGTGACATGAGATTTATAGGGTCAGATGACCAAAGCTGCGTGTTTTCAGAGGAGGACTGAATTATTAAAGGTTTCAGAATGAAAAGAGTAAATTACTAACAGATAAACATCCAGCTGGACCACATCCCAGTTGGACCTGAAGGTTTTATGGGGCGCCCGGCTGATGAGCAGGAGAGGAAGGACCTAGCAGGGATTTTCCCCAATAATGAGGAGGGAGCCAGGCAGAGGGTTGCTGGTTTGAATCCCAGGCTGTCCTGGACAAAAGAGGAGGGGCAGCCCAAAGGATCTGCACAGGTGTGGTGAGCTCCTGCCTGTTCCCACCTGTAACGAGAAACGGAGAACCGGCTCTTGATGTGAGTCAGCATGGTGACGTTCCTCTCAGTTTTGTGTATTATTGTCTTGCTAATTGAATTAATTTAGTTCTAAATCAACATTTACTTACCGCAAGATGTAGATTTGGGTTATGTTGGCTCATCCCCTCTGAAGGCAGTGGCCTGGTGGCAGTTACCGGGTCACCTGTGATGGGATTTAGGAAAGACTTCCACATGCTGGATCTTAGCTGGTAGGTTGTTACTTTTTTTTTGCCTCTTGCTTGTGTGTCGCCAGCCATCTGCTAATTATTATCGGCACAGGCTTTGACACGCAGAGGGAAAGCAGAAAGAGTTTAGGGAGGCGTGTTTACCCTGATTATGAATTACAAGATAACAGCTTTAGGTAATCAAGAGGAGGAAGCGTCCACGGCTGTGTGTGCCCACAGCATTACATTATTTAAACTGACCTCCTTCTTTTATTTGAGCTGTTTCAAAGCTGGTTATTTTCAGCCTCTCTCCTGTCTGTTGTGGGTTTTGGCTTGTGTGTGCTTTACCTGCATAATCAGGGGCCCGATTTATCAGTGAATTTATTCTGCGTTTTCCCCTGAAAGCTCTCTGATCTAACTCGCACTGAGAATTAAAAAATGCAAAGTTTTTCCATCTGTGACTGAAAAGGCTCTGCACAGGGCCTCTGCTTTTTTCCAGTTTGAATGAAAAGGTTTTTGAATTGTGTTAATTAGGGCTGTTGTACATAAGCATTTCAGATTATTATTTTATATAGATAATGTTCCCTTGAATTAGCCTGAAAGCTGACATTTGGTTTTAACCTCTGCAGCAGTTAGTCACCAACACTTAGTCAGCTGTTTCTCTTTCCTCCACAGCTTAAAACTCTGACTTTTTCAAGCTTTTCTCTTCCTTTATGGGTGCGTTTGGCCACAAAATATTGTTTTTTTTAGCACAATTAACACAAAGGTTGGCTCAAGTTTTGCTGTAGGTGTAAAATTAACACCTTTGACCGGAAGCCAACTTCACTGTTGATTTAAAAAGAAACAGATGCCCAGCTTTAGCCTTGTTTTCCACACTGCCTCTACTATTTCTTTAAAAATATGCATAGAAGTACAACAAATGAGAAAGTCAGGGGAGTTTTGTGGCCCAAAGTCACATGCTGGTTAGAGAAGTCTAAAAAAGTGTTTACACTTATCATTTCCAAGAGTTATTTTTTGTGTGTTATTGGAAGGAAACTGAGACTTTCTTCACAGAGTCCAGCAGACAGGAAACTGGAACTAAAGCTGGAGGGAGATTTATAAGGCGTAATATAAAATAGAGGGACCCATCTTCGATGGGAAAACTGAAATGAGGAATAAAAAATTCTGTAAAGATCCAGTGCAAAGACTATAAACTGAGGGGATGTGAATAAAGAGGCAGATCATTGCCAAAAAAAAGGAAAAACAAAGGAGAATCAGTTAAAAAAGTTAAACCATGACGATAAAGCAGGACGAGGTGGTTTGGAGTGTTTCCCTTATGGTTTATTCAACCTGCAGACTGACTGGATCACAGGTCTGAATTACATCTGTTTATTGGACCTTTCTCTGCTTTTTGTTTATACATTATGTTTAGATCCGGTTATTAAACTGTTCTGAGGCCTTTAACTGCTCTTTAAATTTAAATCAAATGTGGAATTGATCAATCTGTCAAATCCCCTGGCAGAAAATCAATAAACGCGTTTTGTAAGTGAGGAATATCTGAAGTCGTATAGCAACAGCCAGATGGTCATTAACACCTTAGAGAGGCTTCATGTGGGCTCTCAGACAGACGGACTTCATGTTCAACCAGCTGGTCACTCGGCTTCGGTTCACCCGCCCCTCCAAACTTCCACTTGTTAGACCGGTGACTAATCAGTGAGAGCAGCTCCACACACGCAGAAACGGGA